CGCAGCGCCAGGCGCCCGGAAATAAAGCAACCGATCAAACGACTAATCATTCGCAGTAATGAGTCGAGCCCTTCCAAAGGGCCGGTCCCGCGCGCTCCCGGGCTCAGGGGCAGCAGGGTTCAGATACAGCCTGCGGTGGAAGGACTTTGGTTTCCCCTCCCCTCGTGCGGCGGCGGGGGCTGGGAGTCAGCCCGGCCGGCCGGTTCCTTTCCCAGCCGGTAGCGACCTTCCTCCGAAACGCTGCGGTGGCGCCGGCTGCTGGGAGCCTCTCTCGCCTCTCCACGGAAGGACGCTTCACAGTATGATCCGCAGGGGAATCTCACGCCGGAGTCGCTCCTCTTTGGACGCGCCTGCGGGGGAGAAAGCGCCTGCCCCGGGCGCCAGCGAGCCAGAATTTCCGCCACGCCCAGGGTGGCGTTCAGCGCTTGCAAGGCGTTCGGAGCAGAAGCTGCCTGCCTCGCGGAGAGGACCGCGGCCTGTTTCTGCAGCCGGGACTCGGTAATTAAGCAGACTCACGTGCACTGCGTGTTCCCCCGGCCGGGATCTCGCGCTCGCTTGCCACGCAGCTCCGCACGTCGGAGAGCCGGGCACCGGGCACCGGCCGTGCAGATTAGTGCAACAGTATCCTCGCGGCCAGTGGCATTGTTCACTCCCCCGAGTCCAGCAGAGCCAGCAGCTGCCTTCGATCGCTAGCCCCGAAACCCCGCCTCAGTTTCCAGACGTGCACGCTGCCACCCGGGTGGGACTCATACCCAGAGGAGACGTGGAAAGGAAACGACGGGCAGCCGGGGTCCTCAGGCGGCGGAAACCGGTGCCGCTCTGTTGGTTTCAGAGGAGTTACACTGCTGGAACTGACAGCTCCAAGAGCAGAGGGCAGGGCGTAGGCACCGACCACCTGGATGGAGGCATCATAAAAAAAATCCTAGCGCAAAACCCTTCCCCCTCACACCCGTCTAATTTCCATGGCTCGTCTCCGTCGGGGGGGAATTCAGACAAACCAAAACTCTTTGCCAGTCCAAGAAAATATTTTCTTAGAGCGAACCGTGGTTGTTTTCATCTGCCCCTTTATCCGAGACACCCTCTTTCCTACGCATCCTAATCGGCCCAGCCTCTTCCCTTTTAACTTGCGATTACTCTGGGGCTCCTGAATGGTTCTCTCTCTCCTTGTTTTAAATAATCGCTACCGGGGCCCGGAAAGGGCTAACCTGACAGAGCGGCATCCTGACCTGGGCGCCCTGTTTAGACAATGCCCTGTAATGCGGCTTGAACGTGAAGCGGATACTGTAGTTAGCATTTCCGAATTTTTAGACACACATATACAGGGAGGCGGGGGCGCTTTGGACAGACTGTGGGCCCAGCCTTCAGTAATTTAAGATGAACAAACAGCAAAGTATCTTCGTGTTACCGGCAACGGATCATTTTGAACCAAAAACTTCCCCTTGCCGCACAGTATTAAAATCACGCTGATAAATTCGATGGTGAATTCGCGGAGTCGAACGTGCGGTCAGGAATCACCGCATGCACCCTCCCGATTTGAAAGGCGGGGGATTCGATATACTGCCGGAAGCAATAGTCTATGTAACTATGTTTTGTGACGTTTAGCTTCCAAACATTCTAGTGTGACGTTTCCGTGTGTAACTTCTCGGCAGCGTAGGGACACAGGTGTGGGTCGTTTGGGTTCATGTTTCACTGCGGATGTGTCTGTACCTCTCGTATTATAGAGCATTAGAGACAAACTGTCATCAAGAGAACTTTTTTTCTGACGTACGTAAATGTTAATACTAATATTTACAATCTGAATGACAGCATTTCAGTATATCTTACAGAGTTTAGATGTGTCCTAATTTTCACAGAATACAGGAAACATATTAGCTAGTTAAAAACCTTTAAATCGCTTACGTTCTCATTAGAACTTGGTTACGTATTAGTTAAAACGTAGTTATGTAGATAGATAAATATAGAGGCAAATAGAGACACGATTGCAGGGCGTTACGCGGAGTCATTTAAGATCGAATTATGTTTACAGTTACAGAATTGTCCTATGGGCCCGATCTTTTACACTGCATTGAAATTGATGGAAGGGTCGGACATTAGCAAAACACAGTAATGCGGTAAACAGCAACACTAATTTTCTATAATGTAAGGCAATCCGGACAACGATTTACTTATTATTAAACCAGCCAGTTAATAATACACTTTTTGTGCCATTTAGGGGGAATCATCGGCATCTAACGCGTGAGTGTTTTAAATTATTTGGTGGTCTTCTAAAAAGTAACACGATAGCGGGGCTATCCACTGTCACATATTACCCGACGTACACCAAGAAACGGCTTCGCCTCTAAATTTAAGTAAAAATATCGTTTAACATATTTAGGGTCGTGCACATCACTTGTACTTGCTAACAGATGTTACAGGGGATAGCCATCAGTGTATAGAAAGCAATGGCTGAAATACACTAAGTAAGGACTTTGCCCAAGTTGATGATGGAAGCTGAATCTGAGTAAAGGTTTAAGGATTGTGCCCAGGGCCGGATTAAGACTTGTAGAGGCCGTAAGCACTGAAAAGATTATGGTACCCCTCCCCCCCATATGTAATTCAAAATAAAAACAATACTATACCATAAAATCTCTCTCTCTCTCTCTCTCTCTTTTTTTTTTTTTTTTTTTTTTTTTTGTGTGCCCCTGCTTTGCTGGTGCCCTAAGCATGTGCTTACTCTGCCTATTGGGTAATGCGCTACTCTGCAGGTGAGAATTCACTAGTGAAAATGAACACAGTATGACGAATGGAAGCAATAAAGCCACAAGCACACGGTATGTCTCTGGCACGGAGAGATGTTGCGTCACTCTTTCGTCACGATCTGTCAATTAACTCTCGTTTGAGATCGCTAACAGGAGAACTGCTTGTACTACAAACACGACCTTGCTCAAAGCAACAGCTCATAAAACACTTTATTGAAATAAAGTAACTAAAGTATCTTGCATTAACTGATCATAAAATGCAGTTTTCGAATAACTTGGGGCACCACAGGATTGTAGACAGCAAGTAGGTGTAAAGTTACAGTAACAATCTCCTCCTGACCCTTTCGGGTTGTCATACAAAATACAACAATCTTCCATCTCGGAGCTCCCAACCCGATACAGAGAAAGAGAAACGGTTGTGTTCTGCCTTATGTACATAGGGGAAGAAAGGGGGAGAGGGAGCCACCAAATATTAAATAGGACGGAAATGAAATGGAAATAATAATACACTAACCATTTAGTCACCCATCTTCTTGTATCTTCATGGAACGCGGCATGGGCCTTGTCTATGTATCCTGCGCCTCGTTCCACATTGTGGACATTCGGGTTGAAAAGAAGCAGGAGGCCTATGGAGCGCATGGCGCACAAGTCTAAGCATCAGTCCAAACTGCTGTGGATGGAGTTGTGTGTTTCTCCTCAAATCCAGTCTTTCAAATGTTCCCGGCTCGTTAGAGAAGGCACTTGCTCGATGCTGCTTTGTGAGTCTTTGTGCTGTCTGGCATGCTAACCAGGCCCCCTCCGTTGGATCGTTATTAGTTATTGCTATTATTATTCCTCCTGGTTGACTTCACAGGGCGAGTTTAGGCTTTCCGCTTGCTTCTCTGCTTCCCTGGCTCGCTCCTGCTCTGTGAGTTGCTCGCTGGTTGGAATGGAGTTTTTCTTCGGACGGCCTTTTGGTTTGGTGGGGGACTCAAGGCCCCCGCCTTGTAATACCTGGGAAACCAAAGAAGACACCAGAATGAAACCCGCTTGAAGATGCCCGATCCAAGCGTGCCTGATCCCAAGCTGGCGATAGGCTGCCATACAGGACACTAACAAGTTATGCCGAGAATCAAAAATATATCCCGTGTCCCAGCATGTCAACACCACCAGGCCTGGGAGGCAGCCAAAGGAAACACCTTACAGCTGGCTGGAAACTCGACCTGAATTGCCTTTTAACGGCTCTTCTTTACCTCTACACGTTACCTCCGACAGGGGAGGGGAAAGATCCTGAAATCCCCGGAGCAGACTTGGCCCTTGGTGTCTTACCCCGTCTCGCTGTGCTCCGCCTGTGTGCAGCGGCATGTTTGCAAGCCTTTCTGCTAGGCATGGTCCCAGACAGCAGGGTTGGCATTGCAGGCTTTTCTCACAAACAACATAGAGGGGAGAGAAACCCGAACAAGGTGCAAACCAGGGGACACACACGGGTCTGCGAGTCGAAGGTCCCTTTTCCTCTACCCCTTCCTAACAGCGCCCAACAATTCTCTGATGCAATCAGCTACGGGCCAGCCACCAACTCCTACAAGGAATAAAATCAAGCAGGCCGAGGCCGAGAGCCAGACGAGTAAATACACTTACTATTTTCTTCCATTTCATTCGCCTATTTTGGTACCACGTTTTCACCTGCAGTTGACTGAGACCCAGGGACTCGGCCAGGTCTATTCTGCAAGGGGAGAGAGAACACACGTGACTCGTCCGAAAGCGGCCAGGCAGCGCTTGTCTCTCCTCTCCGCCGTCAGCTCGGTCCCAGACACCAGCTGGCCTCTGCCCCCAATGGTCCTTAAGGAAGGGTTGGGGCTATCGGGTGCTCCCAGCCCCCTCGCTTCTGTTCGGCGGACGTTGAGGGGAAGGGGAGGAGCGACCCAAAAGAACCTGGGCTGTGGGTGGGTCAACGCTGAACTGATCGATTCGCTCTCGGGACCACAAGTGCAGGGGAAGCCCCAGCTACAGCCGGCCGGGATTCTGCGCCTGGCCTGGCCTGGTGGGCCCGGCCCGCTTAGTGAGTTTGGGGCGAGGCCAGGCAAGCTCGCCGGACTGCAGGCAGATGATTGGGATCCCGACCCCCTGGCAGCGGCTCCCGCACCCCGCACCTGTCAGGCGTGGAGAGGTATTTCTGTTTCTCGAAGCGCTTCTCCAGCCCCATCAGCTGCAGCTCGGTGAACACCGTCCCCGCCGCCTGCTCCGCCTTCAGCACCGCTGCGGAGAGAAAGACGCGGTGAGAGCGGGCAGGCCCTCCTAGCACTGCCTGGGGCGCGTTGCAGATCCGATCCCGGGCGGCCCTGGCCCCAGCCAGGCCCCGCTACAGCTGTGGGGCGCGGAACCGAGCTGTAACAGGGCCAGGTGAAGCAATGCCCGGAGCAGTGAGTGGGCCGCCGCCTGCTCCGCCTTCAGCACCGCTGCGGAGAGAAAGACGCGGTGAGAGCGGGCAGGCCCTCCTAGCACTGCCTGGGGCGCGTTGCAGATCCGATCCCGGGCGGCCCTGGCCCCAGCCAGGCCCCGCTACAGCTGTGGGGCGCGGAACCGAGCTGTAACAGGGCCAGGTGAAGCAATGCCCGGAGCAGTGAGTGGGAAATGGGTCCCTGAGCTTTGTGCGTAGATCCAAAGAAACTAACTCGACAAGCACCCTCCATCCAGCGGCGTGTAAGGCGCCTTTTCAAACCTTCAGCCAGTGTGCGGGAAAAGGGGTATTGGAAACATTTTACACGTGAACAGGAAAGCTACCAAACTGTAACACTGTCTTAACTGCAGCAGCCTTGTATTTGTCTAGTTTTCCCCACACAGAAACAACATTAACATTATTGGATTCAGGGGGAGGTGAGTTAAGTCAAGCACCACTAAGGAAAGGGGGCAAGATTAAAATATTTCTACTTCTGAGAATGAAATGCTCATAGGTCAATTGAAACCTACGTCTGTTTTTTTAAAGGTAGCCAATATTGTTCAGCCTGATTCTATATATTTCTTAATGTGAGATTCCTTCCCTTCCCCCGTTCAACAAATATCTTGCTGTAATATCAAAATCCCAGCTCCAAATAGGATCGAATTGAATTATTTGCATGTATTTAAAATTTAAGATCGACATTCATAATTTGGGATTTACAAGAGGGCAGGATTTAAAATAATTGAATAATAATTGAAAAGCACTAGAATCGACTGGCATCTAATTGTTACTTCTCGGCCGCAGAATACATAATTGGTAGAGTAACAGAGCGTACGTGAACCCAAAGTCCTAGCGCTGTAATCTAGATCATTTTGGTCCAAAGTCTCCGCGTAGTTTTGCAGTATTTTCCTTCTTTTTGTTTTCATTGGTTCCAATAAAATATTATTTTTCATAACAATTTAGAATACCGGCACATTTGCACGGCGTACTGTACCATAATGTGCTATGGAACAAAACAAAGGGTTTATCCTAATTTGAATTCACAAGCAAACAATCGTTAAATGCGGTAGTGAATCACAATAAAAACATGCAGGTGTAACGATCCTCGGTCCCAAAGAGTGGAGTAGCGCCTAACACGTTAGGTTTGAACTGGCGATACTTCTTCTCTGACCAAAGTACTTAAGTTACAAACGCTCTTATTTGAAGTATAAAATCAAATTGACAAATGGCCTCCAGCGGATAGGACGCTAAGAAACTATTGCTAGCCTTACAATTTAAGCGTTGCTTTCCTCGCGAGTAGGAAGTCCTCTTCCTATTAATCTTGAGGAGGGAACACCAGCAGACCCCAGCACGTACAGAATTAGCGTGGAAATAATGAATCATTCAGTTCGTCTATTACAAAGCTTTGCTGGGGTAGGAAATAAAAGGACTATGCCCTCGCAAGAGCAATGTAAATTGAAACACAAACTTATCATCTTTAACTGCCTCAGACAGCAAGGGACAATCAGGTGTTGGTAAGGAAAGTGTTTCAAAAAGGCCTTTCGAATTCCTCTCCCGGGTCGAAATATATATTGTGCTGGAGAAGCCAGTACTTTCATTAACCCAATTTAGGGACCCACCACTCCTGCTCTTACGGAAGTCAATGGGATTTTTGCCACGATATTTTATAAACATCAGTGCACTCGGTTTAGTATTTTAAAGAAGCATTTAGTTCAGACGGGCTTCAAAATTCCCTGCCTTCACGCAGCAATCGTTGCTCTGATTCTACGGCAAGTCTTTATAAAACAGATTAGTTCTGTGTTCAGATAAACGATAAACTGGGTTTTGTTTTTTTGGTGTTTCCTTCTTTTTTCTGTGATAAAGAGAGGGTTGGTTATAGATAAAAGTAGCTTTGGAAAGGACAATTTTTGAAAGGGCAATTTTCAAATTCAGAAGTAACAGTTTGTTTATTGTGCCTCGTAATATATTGCATATGCTTAGATATAGTTGCACTATATATGTTACACTATATATGTACATGTGTAATGTTCCCTGTAATATAGATAAGTTCTGTGTTCTACCTACAACGTTCTATATTGGTCTCTCTTCTGCACAATACCATCATGATATCATGGTTTGGGGTCCGGATATCTCAATCTGTCCACAAATAAAACTTCCATCATCTAACTAGGATGGGATTCATAATATAGCTTTCGTAAGGCCCAAGCATTCTCGGCCTATGTTGAATTTAAATCGATGTAAGGGCCTTCCGTGGCAGAAGGCAAAGAGCCTGCCTCAAATAAATGGTGTATTAACGAGTAATTACAGAGTGTCCTTTACCAGGCTAAGATTCCGTCCTGCGCAGAAGGGATTTTCCCCCAACTGAAAAAAAAAAAAAAAAAAAAGCAAATTGCAGGAGAAGGAAATAGGCTGTTCCCTGTGATGAGCCCGGTTGAAAAACGCGGCTCAAAGGCTTGGGAGAAAGGGAAAGAACAGAGTTTGTTTCGTGCCAGTTGTGCACAGCCTGCTAGCCGGCTTCTGTTGGACTCCTGTCTGGAAAGAAAACATCATGTTATTTTGAATCATCCTTCCTGGGTGTGTGTGTGTGTGTGTGTGGCTGTAGCCTACACTTCTGGCATGAAACCACACGAAACGGGATCGTCCTGGTGGCATATACACACTGGTCCTTCTGTCCGAGCTAGAGAAGGGTCTGTCTTCCGAGCTTAGCCCCCGAGCGGAGCCCTGAAGGAAGAGAAGCGGCCTCGCGCTTCCACGCTGGCCCAGCGCGGTTCTGTGCCCCCAGGCACCCCAACGCGCCGCGGAAGGCAGCGCTAAGCCTGCTTCCGCCAGCAGAGCGCCCCGCCGTTCCCCGGAGCTGCCCTGCCGCCGGAGCCCAGCCCAGCCACTGGACCGGGCTGCCCCTGCGCGCAGCGAGCCCCTGGCCTCCCCTGGCGCGCAGCTTGCGCGGCCGCGGGACGTACCTAGGTGGTTGTGGTAGGGGGG